TGGACAACAAAGACTTCATACAATATGATTTCAATTATATGAAGTTCTAGAAAAGTAAAAACTGAAGTGTTCCAAAGCAGATCAGTGGTTGCCAGAGACCAGGTGTGGAAGGAGTCTCGAGATTACCTGTAAAGGAACATGAGAAACCTTTTTTGGTGTCATAGAAATATTCTACTCTCTTGATTGTGGTGATGGCAGTGGTTCTACAACTGTATACATTTGTCAAAACTCATAGATCATACATATAAAATTGGTGAACTTTATTATATATAAATTATATCTCAATAAATCTGATTTTAAAAGACAGAAGGAGAGAGGCCCTCTGGTTGGTACAAAGAGGATGGGGTGGTGAGGGTGATCAAGACTAAAGACCTAGATGCTAATTATTTAGAGACAAAAGCTGGAATATTCAAAAAGAAACTTGAATGATAAATGAGGGGAAAGCACAAGAAGACCAAAAACGGGAAAAAACAGAAGCACAGAAACAGATGAGCTTCCTGAGCACAGATTTGTGTCCTAAGATAACTTAGAGACAAGGCACAGATTTGCATGACAGACACTCCCTGGGTACACAGGCCCCTGTTCCTTCTTCTGCCCTACTTTGGTCTCACTTGAATGTTACACCAAGCAGCTCAGGCTAATTCCAAGGTAGGCTCATGCTAACACCACTGTTTCGGTTTGCCACATGCATTTTTAGTACTCCCTGAAGACTGGTTCTACTGTTGGTAGAATTTGGTAGAATTATAAGCTACCTTCTGAGGCTGGAATGCCCAGAGGCCACTTGTTTACTCTTTTGGTTGGTGAGCCCATATTCCTGCTGGGCACTCACCCAGTGGTCATTTCCTATGTTCACATGATTCCACCTTGGTAAGGTGGTCCCATGCAATATAGGGAACTTATATTCTTTATCTGAAATTTACATTTAACCGGTTTTTCTGTATTTTTACTTGCTAAATTTGACAACATATCTGAAGGCTTTCCCCTAGGATTCTGCGTCTGCCTATTGTCCCTCCTAAGTAATCCCTGAGACACTGTTTACCCCGAATCTTATCACCTAGTGTTAATAGTAGAAGTATGTTTATCCATCAAGAAACAAAAACACCCTGCCCAACAACTGGAAGAGAGGAATTGTCCTCTCAAGATTCAGGCTAGCCAGAAGAACGGAAGTATCTTTTTCTTAAACAGCTATTTCCTCAACCACAGGTAAACAAACAAACAAACAAACAAAAAACCTGCTTTGTCCTGTCTCCTCACCATGGAGCAAAGGGATATTTCCCTTTGCATGTTTAGATATAAATAAAGATTAAGTTCTTGCCTTAAACTAGTAGCAACAAGTTAAAGATGTAGCCAATATAACCTAAGATTGATTCACTTCTTTTTCAAGTTATTTTACCTACATTTTGTATGGAAAGGTCTTAAGGAACCTATTTTTTTTCCCAAGTGTGTCAGAGTTTACATTGAAAGTAATTTCATACTAAAGAAAAACATCGTGAATCATGGCATTTTGTGTAAGGATTAAGAATTCTTTATTGTCTGCATAGTGCTCTAAAATGTCTTATGAATAAGCCAATATTTTCAATCTTCAGCTCAATCGGCTTTATTATTTGAAATCTGTGATCTTATACTTGTAATGTATTTTGAGCACTTTTTCATCCTTATTAATAATGAAAATGAGATTGTTAATGAAGCTAAATGACATGGCTGGGATTACAGTAAGTTGATTGTTACAGAGTTCCTGAGTCAGAAATTCTTGCTCCCTTTTCTCTCCCTGCAATTGGTGATGAGAAATCTATCTATAATCTGATATATTATTATTATAATCTATCTTACAGTCTATCTATAATCATCTTTTATATTCTGGTTCTCCATTTTTTTCTCTTATGATCCATAAATTAAGAACATATACTTATGACTTAAATATTTAAGAATTGGATAGAAGTATTCATCCATAAATTTTTATCCCCCAAAAAGCCACAATCCATAGCCCCAAACCACATTAGTAATGCCTATACGTGTAAATATGATTCTTGTGTATTAAATACATATATGTATATATCATGTTAAGATACACACAGCTGACATATATTATATACTGTGAGGTGGGTACATGTGATTGGAGGAAAAGACTGTTGTCTCTCTGCACTCCATTTTCCTTTGCCCCACTGTATCACTTAGGCATGTAACCTCTTTGCTTCAAGCTATTATAAAAGAAAAAAAGGCTATGCCTTTTAAAAGCATATGTGCTGAGGAGCTCAGGGCATAAAGAAGACCTAATGAGAAGGAGAGAGTCTTCCATTTGATCCTTAATTCCTCCAAAGGTTCACAGGTTAGTGGAATAGGGAAAGGAAGACAATTAAAGGAGAGGCAAAGGGAGGTTAGCTAAACTCTGATGTGACCTGAGAAATGGTTCCCACATGCTGCTCCCTCCCCTAGGCTAAGACCCTGGGAAGGAGGTAAGAAGCAGGGTAAGAAAAATACCAGATAAAAGGAGACAATCTGAGCGTGGTGAGCATCTATACTCTCTTGTCCCTCTACCCCAACCTCAAAGGGGTGGCAGCCAGAACCAGAGTCCCCTGGAATCTTCATGTGCATGCTGGAGCAGCAGGGTTCAGGGCCTCAGGCAGCCTCATGGAGCTGCTTGTGCCCTGGGCTGCAGCTCTGAGAGCATTGAACTCTTGCAGCCTTGCTACCTCTCTGTGTGAACAAAGACCAGACAGCAATAAGGATGCCTCAGTCTTCACCAACTTGGATGGATCATGACCCAGACCAGACAACCCCTTCCGCCCACTGCCTCGGCACACAGCTCTACCCCGGTAACTTAGAAGGGAGGAGAAACCCTTCCTGACTGAGATTGTTTCCTCATAAGATGTGTTAAGGTTTGTTCTCATGAGACTAAATAAAGTGATATATTTTATACCACTAAGTTTGTGGTCTGAAATACCCTGTACACACATATATACATATACATAATGTCCATATATATAAATTTTATTTATACCTATATATATAATTTTCACCTATACCTATAAGTATATGTAATTTTTTATTTATACCTATGTGGTATATATTTTATATATTTTAGTTATGTGCATCCTCTATTTTATGTTTCCGGTTTGTTTTAGGGAATTTGCTTGCAAAGTGGACAATAAGAAGGGCAGGCTTTTCTTTGCTATCTGTGATGAAGACTTGAAAGGGTACACAAAAAAACTTAGTATTTTAGTGGTTAAGATAAGGAAAACGAAAAGAAATTGTGTAGGTGTGCGTGGTACATATATGTGCATAGACGAATACACAGATACATAGGTAAGTAGATAGATATGGAGCTACCAACTCTCTGCCTACAGCAGTTGTTTTCCTGATGCAGAAAAACCAGAGTGCCACGAAAGCCTCCACATAAACTTGAATAACATTATCTCCTGGGTTCTCCAGTCCACGTCACCAGTCTTAGCTATGTGGTTCATCTCATGGCCTCTTGTGCTCTCACAACGGATGGGTAGAATTCTTGCTTTAATTCTGGTGCTGGATTGTGCTTTTTAAAATAATTAGATGGTGAGTGGGGAACACACTGACTTAATTTGCCCCAGCAAGACTTTTTCTCTATTAATGAGGGCAGCATGAATAAACTAAAGACCCTTTCTGCAGTAACCTGTCAAAGGCTTTTTCAGATAAAGCATTGGTTGTAGGTTTTCATTTTCAGGAAGAAGGAAAAGAATTACATTTACTTATAAAATAATGAAAGAAAACAGAAGAAGGTTTTTGGTGTCTCTTCATGAATCACTTAAACAAACAAACAAAAAAAGAGATAGATTTGTGAATAGCAACCCAGATGGAGAATTTGCTTATGTGAGGGGCAAAATGGTGCAGTGACTGAAGCACAGATCTTGGAGCCGGGGGCATGGGCTCAGATCCCAGCTGTGTCTCTCACTAGCTGGTGTTTAGCTTCTGTGCCTCAGCTGTCCCACCCATAAAGTGGAATTGAAAGAGTTATCTATCTGATGGAATTCTGAGAATTAAATGGTAATCTGTAAAGAACCTAGATTAGTATTTGTTTTAAAAGTGTAGCAGTCCATTCTCTCATTGTTTTGAAGAACTACCTGAGACTAGGTAGTTTATAAAGGTAAGAGGTTTAATTCACTCACAGTTCCACAGGTTGTACAGGAAGCATGGCTGGGGAGGCCTCAGGAAACTTACAATCATGGCAGAAGGTGAAGGGGAAGCAGGCACGTCTTACATGGCCAGAGAAGGAGGAAGAAAGTGAAGTGGGAGGTGCTACACACCTTTAAACAACCAGATCTCCTGAAAACTCTATCATGGGCCAGCACCAAGGGGATGGTGGTAAACCATTGGAAACCATTCCCATAATCCAATCACGTCCCACCACACCCCACCTCCAACACTGGGGATTACAACTCTACATGAAATTTGGGTGGGAGTATAGAGCCAAACCATATCAAAAAGTGTAATGTGCTGAGGGTAACCACCAGTTTACCCTTCTCCATATATGACAGAAATAGAGGAAATAACCTAGAAGGCAATGTAAAGGACTTAGGTTAGAAATAAGAAAGAACTGGAAGATTGTTTTTTAAGTTCTGGAATGGTCTACCCAAGAAGCTGTAAGTGCGTAAAAAACAAAGCAGGAGAGTTAGTTACTCATTTGACCAGAACAGTTTTAGTGCAAATCTGTTATACTAAAGCCATTTCAGAATAAGTACCTACCTTCTTGACCTGATGGCTTAGAATTTCACTCAGTTCTCACGTTGGGTGACTTTAAATTATCTATGTCACTGTTGACCATGGTGGATAATTGTCATTTTCCTAAATGTACATTTGCTCTGGTGGTCAACTACTGCATATTAAATCCCTAGAGAAGAGGCGTGCACTACAGTCAGACCTGCTTGAACATTTAAGATGATAAAGATCGAGCAAACCCAGTGACTCACCTTCTCCACGCTAACTCCTCGCTAGCTCTCCGGCTCATACACTCTCACACCCGGCTCAAGATGGCGGCGGCGGCTGGAGACTCCGACTCCTGAGAGGCAGACGCATTCTCCGTGGAAGACCCAGTGCAGAAGGTGTGGGGCGGCAGCACTGCCGGTGGGGACCGCTAGGAAGGCGAGGACTAGGACGAGGACGTCAAGGATAACTGATAACAATGATGACGTAAAAAAAGAAGCAGCAGAAGTAAAACCAGAGGTTAAAAGTTCAGAAAAGAGAAAAACAGCAGAGAAGATAAAAGAGAAAGAACGGCAACAGAAGAAAAGGCCAGAAGAAATTAAAAAGAAGTTAGAAGAACCTGAAGAACCTAAAGTGCTAACACCAGAAGAACAATTAGCAGATAAACTGGGGCTAAATAAATCACAGGAAGAGTCAGACCTCTAATTAGCAAAGGAAACTTTTGGTGTTAATAATACAGTTTATGGAATAGATGCTATGAGCCCATCTTCAAGAGATGATTTTACAGAGTTTGGAAAGTTACTAAAAGATAGAATTACACAATATGAAAGGTCACTATATGATGCCTTTCTTTTTGGAAATCTTAGTTCGAGATGTGTGTATTTCATTGGAAATTGATGACTTGAAAAAGATGACCAATTCACTGAAAACAAAGCAAAACCAAAAAGAAGAAAGTTGTGGTTCCTGGAGGGGGGATAAAAGCTACCAGGAAAGATGATCTGGCAGATTATGGTGGTTATGATGGAGGATATGTATAAGACTATGAAGACTTCATGTGACATTTTATCTTTTCCTGGTGTCATTTTGTTTTGTTTTGTTTTGTTTTTGTTTTTGAGACGGAGTCTCGCTCTGTCTCCCAGGCTGGAGTGCAGCCGCGTCATCTAGGCTCACTGCAACCTCTGCCTCCGGGGTTCAAGCAATTCTCTGCCTTAGCCTCCCGTCCTGGTGTCATCTTTATGTTGTGCACAATCCCTTGAACATGTAGTACAACTTCCTTTCCTTTCAGTTCTGCCAAATGCTACAATTGGAAGTTCAGTTGTATCTTTTGTGTTGGTTATTTAGCCCCTCGACCCTTAGGTGCTAATGTGCAAATGAGGGAACTTGGATCTTGCTGCCAAGGGGTTAAAATTGGGAACTTCAGTTGCTACTAAATCATAGTTCAAAACAAACCTAATAATATTGTCATTGTTGCTCTCTGATTTCATAGCAGCAGTCACGGAATTGGAAACAAAAGATTGCAACATGACAAAAAAATTGTATAGTATTTACCAGTATCATTCAGTAATACAGCCTTAACCATACCTCCTTGAACTGCTCCATAACTTGTCAAGAATACCATTTTGCAGCAAGGGCATGTGGTGTGCACCTAGTATTAAAATTGCTTTGTCTTAAAATTGAACATGATGATATTACAAATACATTGTGAAGAAGACTGCTTATCTCAGAGTGAAGATACTGTGGTTGATATCTTCACTCTATAGTTTTTATATCAAACTGCAGCAGTAGTTTGATATAAAATTAAAATGACCAAAACCCTCCAACTTTGAAGCTAAAGGAGGTAAATTTCTCCATTATTGCATTACATGTTGTGGAATCTCTTGAGTGCAAAGTAATTTATCAGGCTATTTCTACTGATGAAGTGCTTCAGCTGGGGGAGGGAAACTCTTTACCTGTTTTTATTTGCCAATTTAAGTGTCTGAAAAACCAATCGTTGTTCTCTTAGGCCACAGTGGAACAACTTTACCAGGGTTTTGGCATTTCCTTCCCTTTATAAACATGCTCAGTAAACTGCACCAGTTAACTGCAGTTTGGTAAATTGTTATGTTAACAATTGCGACATCTGCAATGTTTTATAAAGGAACTAATTTAATAAAATCACTATCATGAGGACTTAAAAAAAGATGATAATGATTTACAAACAGCATTTTAACACTCGTTTTGACTATTCAGAATAACCTACTCTGCAAGTTGATGCTATCAAACAAAATAGAAAGTTTCTTAAAGTTTTCCAGACTCAGTTGTATGACTTGATACATACTCTTTAGTTGCTTGAAAAAAGGTCAAGACACAATACAGAACGATTAAAATAAACTTTAAAAACTAGGTTCCTGGGACCATCTGTGAGCTGCTAGTATTTTGCCACCAGGAACCAAAAACTCTCTATGGCCAGCTGATCTTTTGGCCATAACTAAACCAAAAGATACTTCGAAATAAGCAGAATGAAGGATTTTACATTGTGGGGACTGATTGATTTTACAGGTAACTCTTTCCTAAAGATCAATATAGACACTTACAAACAAGACTGGGCAATCTGTAAGAGAGTCATATTTGACTGCAGTATTGTCATCATAGGAAGAGTAATGGTGCTTTTGGTCTATATTACAGTCAGAGTTGAAAGGACCTTAACAATGATCAAGGGTAACCCCTTCCCCTCATTTTTCAGATGGCAAAACTGAGAGACCTCAAGAGTTTAAAATCTTTATTTAAAGCCAAACAGCTTGCTAGTAGCAGAGCTGTGATAAGAATTCAGATCCCCTGCCTAGACCTTCAACTTAATCTGGTCCCTTTTCTCTCTCACCACCCCAGACACCATTGTCCTCATTCAGTTCTCCTGGCCAGCCAGGCTTGATTCCACCTCAGGCCTGGGCACTTGTTTCCTCCACCTGGCCCCCTCTCTACTCCTACGGCTTCTCCTGGCAAGTGTTACCTCAATTATGATCCTTTACAGAGGTTCTTTCTAAAATCCACCAGTCACTCTCTATCATATCACTCTGTTTAATTTTCTTCTCAACACTTATGGATATCTGAAATTATCATCTTTATTAACTATTATTTCTCTATTATCTTCCTGCCATTCACAGGTAACCTTCAGGAGAGCTGGGGCTTTACCTGTCTTGTTCACTGCTGTATTTTCTGCTTCTAGAATGATATCTGGTACAGTGTAGGTGCTCCATGAATACTGTTAAATGCATAAAAGAAGAAGAAGACAGCTTTTAAGAGTTGCTCTGTTTATCTGTATCTTCTGATTATCTTGTACTTCCATCTTAATGTAGCACATTAATACTAACTACTATTTATTGGGGATGTGCTGTATTTTCAAATGTTATGTTAGGCCTTTTACAAATCTTATCTCATTGTCTTCACAACAACCCTAAGTGGAAGGCATAATTATCCCTGTTTTATGATGCAAAAGTTGAGGCTGAGAGAATTTAAGTGGCTCAAGCATCTGGCAGAGCCACAGTCAGATCTATAGTTTTCCAACTTGAAAGTAATCATGTCTAAGATTTCCAACCTCCTTTATTTATTATATCTGTTCCCAGGTGTTCAATATCAAGGCAATATCAGTAAACACAATTATAGAACACTTACCAGATTGTGAGCTCTCAGAATGGGTTTAATTTCACATTAATGATGAAGCAGTCAGTTGGAAGTACAAAGATGCTCATAACTGCGTTGATCTGTGAATGTTCAAGAGAGCTTGGCATACCTGTTAAGGGTTTGATGTATTCGTTGTCTCTGCTAGGGCTCATGACAGGAGAGGGGACCTAAAGTGTTCTGTGAAAAGAAAGCTGTTGGCTGTGGGCTGAGAACTCAGGAGCAGCCAATGTCAAGTTTGGGGTTCAGCCTGCCCTTGTGCAGGAGGCCTCCACCTGAAGGAGTTGGGGTTGGGGTTTCTTCATTCAGGCAGTGAATCAGAATCTTAAGAAGAATTGAAAACAGGACCCGCAGCCCTCATCTTGTTCTCTGTCCTGATACAAATGACTAACTGCCCTCAGTCCCCCAATCTGTAAATGTGGAGTGCTATGTAAATGCTGACTAACAACCATGTTGGAAAATGGTTTAGGTTCATTTGGGGCTGGCAGCCTTTTGTCGGGGGCTATTTTCAAGGCTACTGTAACTTTCTGTCTTGATTCTTACATCTTCGCTATTATGGGAGAAGGGAAGTGGGACACGAGAAGAAGGTCAAACAGCTGTTCACTACAAGTTCAAGAATATTTCTAGTCTACCCAGAGAGCACCAGGCGGAGAAGGTTCAGCAGTGGGGTCACTGGTCTAGTCGGCTGATTCTAATCCTGGCCCTGGTCACAGGCATTAGGCACAGGCCTAATGTCCTCCATGGACATTGTCTCCTGCCTCCTGCCCCGATGCCTCAGTCCTTTAAAATGCATTCCTGCCACCCTTCTTGCTAGCCTCTCCCCCAGGGTTCTATCTCAAGAGGCCAGTTTCATGACTGGAGCTTGCACTCTGTAGACTGCTCGGGCATCCCTGAGCAGTGGGTTGCATGTGAAAAAGATAAAACTGGATTTAAAAATATGTGAATGGCAAGAGGAAAGAACACTACTTGGACATTAGATGTAAAATGGAAGGGGTGAAATGTTTTTCTTTAGCAGGCTACCTGGCAGCTTCAGGATAGCAACATGGGGAAAGAAAGTAGACCATGAGGTTTTAATGAGATGTTGTGGCTTTTATGAGGGAAAACAGAAAAGGCCTGGGAGGAAAGCAGGATACGCTCACTGGGACTGTGGGTTCACCTAAGAGGAGTGTGTAGGATTGGAAGACATGGGGCTGGTTTAGGGAATTTCAGCTGCCAGAATCCTGGGGCACCAGGGGAGAGCAGGTGTCTTTCAAAGTCAAGGGACAGGCATGGAGCTCAGATGGGAAAGGACTCAGCTATTTTAACGTAGATTTCCAGTGATCAGGGCTGGGAAGGATAGGCAGATTTTAAGGCTGGTAAGCAGAGGACCTGCACCTTGAATGACAAATCAGTCATGTGGCTCAAAGAAGCAGCACAAACAAAACAAGCTGTTCCTAGGGCTGGCTGAGCCATTACCAAGGTCAGAGGAAGCCTTAACTGTGAGCATGGCACACTGAGCTCTGATGTGGCCAAGGACTGAAGTCAGGGTGAAGTGGTGTCCAGACCAGGGTGTGCCATGTAGACACAGGTGTGGGGGGCATGGAAAAAAGCAGAGGTTCCTGAATCCAGATGCCTACAGGACAGAAAGGGAGTCTACCTAAGCCTCCAGAGGAGCTTGAACAGTAAATCAGATCTTTTAAGGCTGCTATAACTTTCTGCCTTGATTCCAGAGGAGCTTGAACAGTAAATCAGATCTTTGCCATACTTTGGGCTCATTCCCATTCTACCCTGGTTAGAACTAATCTCTGACTGGGCTGCCTAGAGAGAAAAGCAAACAGCTAGCTTGATTGAAGAAGCCCTTAATGTAATAGTGGAGATAATGTTTCTCATCAATGTTTCACTTCATTATAGGGTTGGAGCTAGAAGCAAGCAGCTAACTAACTGGAAGGGTTCAAAGGGGTTGGTTCAGAACAGACTGGGATGGTTTACGTTTATGCCAAGTTGTCAGAGTAACTGAGGCTGTGGACCCATTACCCACCCAACCACTCCCGTACTAAAGATTGCCAATGCCGAGGCTTTGTTACAGGGGAAAAGCCCATGGGAAAAATAAGAGGAGAGAACTAGATACTGTTCACCTTAAAACTAAATTCCAACCCAGATGGGCTGGCAATCAAGGCAGTAGTCTGAGATCAATGACCTGTACTGCGTCTAGAAGAAGCAGATGTTTAGAAGGCAAGGCATCTGTCAGGAGACACAAAGATGGGGCTCCTTCTTAAAGGCCATGGCAAGGAAAAAGTTAAGAGTTCAGAAGGTCAGTCAGTATAATGCTTATGACCAGGCATATTCTATTTAGCATGGGGTTGGTCTCAAGGTGGGGAAGGAATGGGTCTATGCCTGGTTTGGGTGGGGTTTATTCTATCCTCAT